GAACATTGGTCTTTTAAGAACAAAATACTTAAACTATGTACTGTTCATACAAAATTTAATCAAAGTAATACATTTTCAAGATTACACTACTTAATATCAAATAAGGTACCCATTTTGGGGACACCCCATGGAAACTAATTAAAACTACCTCTCATGTAGCACTCTTAAGGGACATATAATTAAGTATTTATCGCGGGTCTATTCTGGTCCTTCCTATATATGTGAAATAATGTCGATACCTAATAATAGTGACTTTGAAGTTCTTAAATAAAATACTTTAACGGTTTAAAAGGGCGTTATTTATTAGTCGTACCTATTTTAAAATTATTTTAACTACGGATTAATATATTATATCGCGTTTTAAACCGATTTATTTAAATGTGTACTACTTGCGTAAACTAGCGTCAGTATTTCAAAGTTCTTTTAAATAAAAGACATTTAAACGGATCGAAACGGGTAATATATTAGCGAACGGAGATGTTCCGTAAAAGTGATTCAAGTTTTTGACGTTCTTGTCTTTCTTTATCCAAAATATTTTTTTCTGGGCCCCGTGCTAACTACTGAAGTATGTTCCTAAAGTAATTTTCGACGATAAAGTTTCGACAACGTTTATCATTATAATTAATGACAGTAAATAAGGTATACAATGTTAAAGGGCTCTCTTTGACCTGCTTGCTGGTCTAATGGTATGCTTGTAGCAATGTATACTAATAATCAACGGCTGGTGGATTCGATCCCAACGCGTCCAGCATGATTTGAATTTTTCTGAAACATGTTGCTTTTCGACTTTAAATCTCTAGATAAAATGATGGTAGGAACACAGAAATTCTGTCCGAACCACCGTCCACAGATGAAAAGGCCGTGAAGTTTCAGTCTGTGGATCTCGTAAAGCCAAAATATAATAGGTCGCAGGCGCAACTTTTTTCGAAGTTATGTGGCTGGGTTATTTCACCACCCATCCCGTGCTTGACTGACCTCCTCTAAATTAAAAAAAATAATCTGCTATATCTTATTACATCTGCATATTATCTTGTTGTCCTTATTAGGAGCCTAATTAAAAATAAATAAAACACTTTAACGGTTTATAACGCGATATAAACTTGTTTGAAAATTATATTTAACTACGGCCCGACGTTTCGGGTGCTTTGCCGTCACGGGAGCGTTAAACTGTTTTATGTAAATGAGTACTACTCGCGTAAACTACAGACAGTATTTATTTTTAATTATTATTAGTACGATCCATATATAAAATTACAAAGAGATAAAACAAATCTATTTAAAATAAAAACGAAACTCACGAATAGAATCCACCGTGAAACAGTGACAGACAGAGAAAATTGCCTAAGTTTGTTCAAAGCCAACTTCAGAATAAGTTAAGGACTTGATAACGTTTGAATCAATTCGAAAAGAATTGGCGTTCGAACTTAAAAAACACATAAGAGAATTATAGAACTAAAATATAGCCTTATTTTAAGATAATGTCCAAAATAAAGGCTTGTCAAATATTATTAAAAGTGATTAAATCGTTAAGCACTGTCTGTAGTTTACGCGAGTTTAAATAAAACCCTTTTAACGGTTTCAAGCTCGATTTGATTGCAATTTATTTTAACTACGACATTTCGGAAGTTTTACAGCAGCTGTGGTCACGGGGGACGGCTGCCGCAAAGCTTTTCTTTGCTTTAATCTCTTTATATTATTTCCGTGTGCACTACGATCTTTACTGTGACAGTGTAAACTCAAGTATTTTTCTTTAAACTTATTATCTTCATTTACAAACCACATAAATATTAGCAAAATACAGTCTTAGAGGGATCTAGGTTCGATGCCCGTCTAATTATTAATTCCCTTTAAAAATGTTAACGATTCTATTAAATTAAACACTATTAACAGTTAAGAACACGAAATACTAATGTAAACGTATTCAAAATGAACTTAACTACGGCCCCAGATTCTTGCGGGATAACAGTCGCCCCATGACTACGGCTATTTCGCGTTTTAAACCGTTAAAAGTGCAATAAATAATAATCGAACTGTGAAACGGAAACAGACAATTCCTCGCCCCATGACAGCCACAGGAGGAACGAATACACTTAAAAGTTTAAATTTGAAGTTCGAGAAACTTCCGACTCCGTTAACTTAAAAGCATCTCTTGTTTTCAACGTAAAAATTCGCGAAACGTATAACACTTTGAAATAACGGAATGGCTTTCGTTATTTATCGTCTTGTTTTGGCTTCGGATTCATTTAACGTCCACAAAACGCTATTTCACTTAAACTTTGGCAATTTTCGAAGCACCTCACACGATTCGTTTAAATTGTTTCTTTACAATAGGACGACAGCGCGTCTTGTATGGCTGAAATATAGCATCAAGAACATTGCTTGACTGTCTTCTTGTGTTAAAAATGACGAGTTACCGGGTTCGATTCTTTTTTAATTATGGTTAACCAGTAATTAAATAGTCTTTTCTTGCCACCGACCTGAACTAAAGCTATTTAAACGGGAAACTTTTTCCCTACAGTGGGAATTTAGAACTACAAAAAAAAATATTACGTGCAATTTCTGCCGTAAAGTAAAATTAAAATTTATTACACTCAGCATTTAAGATTTTAAAGTATAGTGTTCGCGAGCACATTTAATTAAATAAAACACTTTTAACGGTTTAAAATGCAAAATGCATTAGTAACTATATTGACCACTTATTTTAACCTACCTACAGTTTCGGATGCTTTGCAGCCGCGGTGGGGGGGGGGCTGCAGCGTTAAAAGTGTTTCATTTAAATTTATGATTTTATAAATATGAATAAATTTTGAAAAACTACATTAAAAGTAGTTAAAAAAGAAGTAAATGTCATCACGCGGGCAGTTTTAAAATTAATTCACGCGAACTATTCTATATCGTATTTAAAAGTATAGTTTTATCTTCAGTTTTACTCGTACTGTTGTTATTTCCACGATTATCGGGGATAAAATATTGTTTCTTATAACAAGCCGACACAATGTCATAATGTCCCGGGGGTAATTATGCCACACCTAAGCCGGAACTCTCCCATTCCGATTGTATGTGAAACCGCGAGCTTATTCTGGTCGAGAAAAATATTGTATTTTTCCATTATCCCTCGACTAACTAATATTAAATAATGTAAACATATATAGCCCTTTTTACACAAAGATATAAATTGGCACTAGCAAAAAAAATATCTTGAAAAAAAAACTTTTTTTTGTAAACGGCCAGCTACATAAAAATTACTATGAGATTATGAATATAATATAATATTCGACTGTGTAAAAAACTGAACACTTCTTGCCTTCTTCATTCAATATGTTGTTTATATAAGTAATTTATTACTTACTAATAAATATTTTAATAAAACAGTTTTAACGGCTTGCAACGCGAAATATATCTATTAGTTTCTAATACTATGGTATTAAAATAAAATATAAACGCGCCACAAATTAATTACAAATAGCATTTCATTAATTAAAATTTAAATAAAACACTTTTGTCGGTTTAAAACGTGAATTATTGCAATTCCGAGTATTGTTTACATTTTGAAACGTTAAAAGTGTTTTTATTTAAGTCACCATCTAAATTAACATAACTTATTTATTCAACCTAAAAAAAAAACAAATTCAGAAACAATAACTTGAAATGTCGGATATGATATATTTCTTATTATCTTAACATTTGCATGAAAATAATACGTCTTCATTATATTGTTCTTCATTGCGTGTTTCCTAAATAAACACACATATTATAGATTCAGATAATTTACAAAACCACAGACTGTGTCGTTTTAGCAGCTGTACACGCTTTTCTTGTTAGACCTAGCTTAAGCTTTGTGTTGTCTGTTTATGTGACTAATAGTATATAGATTGAACTATATTTTTAATAGAATTTATAGAAATATGGACGTAGGGTGAAGTGGTGAGTGGTAGTTTGAGTAGTACACATTGATAAAAAGCAATTTTAACAGTTAAAAACGTGAAACATATCAGTTAACTGATTTTGACTACGACCAAACCCTCTGCAAAGCATTGGAAACGGGACGTACTTAAAATTTAAGCTTGAAAAACTGTTAAAATAGTTTTATTTACATGTTGTGTTTTGTCTGGGGGAGGCAGAATTGCTTATAAAATTAGTTTTGTAGCCTCCCGCCACAAATTAGGTTTGGTGTTTGAAAAAAGGGGAATGCCCAAATTTTGCTGTAAAAATTAGAAAACAATAAAGAAGTTTGTAAAGTACATATATGGTATATATGTGTACCTTTTTGTCATTTTTTTTGTCGGAGAAAATGACAGTTCAAGAGTGAGAAGGCACTGGACGTCATTCCATTAATGGTTGGTTACGTTAGACCAATATTCTTTTATTAACGTCATTCAATGAAATTAGTATGAACCAGCTGTCATAATAGATTTCTTATATGCTATCGTTTCAGATTACATTATAGAAATATAGAATAACCCTTTTGGGGCCGATTCTCATATGCGACGTAAAATCTTTACGACTTAAGTTTTGTGGATAAGATCGCTGACAGTCATTAAAGGCAAATTAAATAATTTTAATATCTAATAATATACATACATAACATTTAACTTTTACGTCATATTTAAAATCACTTATTTTTTTGTAATGAAACCTACAGAAAATATTTAAATAAAAAATACTTCTGAACTTTGATTGTAGTAATAGTAGTTTATTGAGTAGTAACACATTTAATAAAGTACTTTACAATCTTAAGCGCTTAAGGTACTTGAATTTTTGAGCTGTAATGCTTTTTTAAGCTTGAAAATCGATGTTGCTTTGTAAAATGATTACAAAAGTTTTATAGAATTTATACCTCAGCACGTTTTTTAAACTAATACAATAATTAGCTATAATTTTTACTATGGTAATAACTGCATATAGTATATATAAAAAATACGAGACTTAAGTCGTACGCTATGAGAATCGGGCCCCAAAATATCGTGCCATCGATATAAATCGGCCACACGTACTGACAGATGGCGTTCCTGCAGAATCGCTCTATCTCGCTCGTGGACATGTACATCGACAATTCGGAGCCATCAGAGAATGTGGGGCAGATCCACTTCTCGCTGGAGTACGACTTTCAGAATACAACCCTTATTCTGAAGATTATACAGGTATGTATTTATATGGCCGCCTCCGAAACTCCTCAATGTTACCTGTGTATAGTGAATCCCCTTTCCCCCGGGGGGGCCATGGGGCGCACTTCTGTATCCGTTTTCACATAATAATCTTCATTAATTTTTTTTCAATTTACTTTTTTTTTATTTAATTAACTCCTATGTTTATTAAAAGAAAAGTTATATTTATACTATTTTAAGAAATTTGAAAAAAACATTTTGGTGTTCTTCTCGGTTATTTGCTCAAATATTTTTAATATTTTTTTGTCAAATCTAAATCATTTTTTAATTTTAAAAAAATTATATTTTATTTTTTAATTTAAGGAAAACCCAAAAGTACTTACTTAAAAGTAGTTATGTACTAATAAGATGACAGATAAATTTATTTAATTTATCGAATGTACGCTATTTTAGTAGAGTAAAAATAGCTAAATAGTATTCTCTTTAGTTTACATGAAACTCGTGCAATAACTCACTTTTAACGGTTAAAAACGTGAACTATTCGTTTAATCAATTTTATTTTCTAACAGCCATAAACTAAGTAAAGTAGTTAAAACTGATTTCCTTTTTGTTGAAAATTTTAAGCCTTTAACTGAAGACGTTTTCTCTTAAGAATGATTTTATTTATAGAAGAATGCCTTTATAAAGTGAATACTGTCTGTAACTCTACTGAGATAATAGAAGAAGGGTAAATATATTAAAACATTATCATAATGTTATGTTTTATTCATGTTACCCAGAACGCATCTTATTATAATAGTTTTATGGGATATATTATGGGGTCTACCTTGTAATGGAAAACTCTTTTCACTACTTTCAAGATGACCTGTTTTATCTTATTTTAAGCAAACGAAAAAATTATTCGAATATCCTCTAAAAAACAACTAATGAAAATGTTGAATCTATTTAAATAAAATACTTTAACGGTTTAAAACGCGATATATTAGTGAAACTTTGACGATATTTAGTTAAGCTTTGCAGCAGTGGGCAACGGCTGCTGCAAAGCATCAAAAGGGCCGAAGTTAAAAATAATTTTCAAATAAGTTTAACTGATATATCGCGTTTTAAACCATTAAAGGGTTTTATTTAAATGTGTACTACTCGCGTAAACTATAGACAGTGTTTTGAATCTAGTCTTATAGTCATACGCAGTTATACGTTGTATTTAATTTGCAATGTTAATGTTAATAAAACGAATAAATATTTGAAATAAAGCAGTCACGAACACATTGTTTTGCGAATTATATAAGTTAATAAGATATATACATACAATATTTATTAATATGTATGACGAGAAAATGTCTTATTGATAGAGTAGAAATTTTTTTATTTTATCTAGAGCGGGGGGGGTTTAAAGAACAATGTTAATTCAATAATTTTTCCTAAATGTTAATTTTTATTTTTTTTAATGTAGGCAAACGCATCGTCTGAAAAATCTGGATATTAAATGGGTGGTAGGAATAGATCACGTCCGGGTCGCGAACCACCGTCCACAGATGAAATAGTCGTGAAGTTTATTAACATTTTGGTGTCAATGTGAATTTCCGATTATCCAAAGTCAAAATATTTCGACAGCGCGTCTTGTTGAAATATTATATGGCTCGGTATTTCACCTACTACAGGGAATCCCGCTTCGGTCCTCCTCTATCATAAAAATTGAAACGTATCAAATTTCCAGGGTAAAGAGCTCCCAGCTAAGGACCTGAGTGGTACCTCGGACCCTTACGTCCGTGTGACCCTCCTCCCTGATAAGAAACATCGCCTGGAGACCAAGATAAAGCGACGCACTCTCAACCCACGCTGGAACGAGACATTCTACTTCGAAGGATTTCCGATACAAAAACTCCAAGCCAGGGTAAGTGATTATTATTTGCTTAGTGTAAATGACAGTGTCATACCTACCTTGTGAAGTGGGATTTGGTGAAGTAAAAATTAGTAAATGAATGTTTTTTTACCAAAATGTACGTACAGCTGTGGGGTTTTTACATCATATTAATTCAAATTTAATCATTCAAAATATACAGACATATCAATGTGCTGTTATTAAACCATAGGTATATAATAATGTCTCGGGCCAACCAATTCACATAAGTGCAGCTCGGTGTGCCTTCTTTGCGACACTAGACCAGTGACAAGCAGTATTTATTAAGTTGAGTTAAGAGAAGCAAATAAACAGAAATAGCTCAGTGACATAAGGCATTGAAAACACAAAAATAGTATAGATATTTTCTTAAATAGTTTCACAGATGAAGTCGAGGTTTAAAAATAACTTACATAGACAGGCATCAAATAGGTACAAATGAAGAAAAAACTCATGTAATAATAAGAAGTATATTAGATAGTTGGTTACTATAGTTATAAATAAACAAATAATTACGACTTAAAACGATTTATTACAATAAAATAAAACACATAACAGATTATTAGATAAGTAAGATGTAAGACAGTAAATAAGTTCAAAAAAGTCATAAAATTTAGATTGCCTCAAAAGGCGTATTATTGTTGAAGAGACTTCTTTAATGACAGGGCTGCCTGGCAGTGATATGACCTGCTGCTTAGGTCATTAAATTTACAAAAATGTATAAGTTTGTAAGACATGTTGAAAAAAGCCCGATTGAGTTTCACCTTGTCTTTTGAACACTCTTTAGAAGTATTAAGAACGTAAAAATTTTTTATCTAACGCCACGCCCGCCGAAAAGCATTCGAAACGTCAGGCCGTAGTTACGATAATTTTCAAATAAGTTTAACAAAATATTAATATTTCGCGTTTTAAACCGTTAGTGTTTTATACAAGCAGTATTTTATCGTTATAAACGTTGATTATATTTAATTGCCAAAGTAAAATTCTACTTTTTTCAACCCCCACGCATTGTAGTATATTTTTCTTTGTTACTTGTTCTCTCTAAGAAAATCTCGAATAAAACTTAGCTGAAAAACTTTCCTGGAAACGGTTAGAATTTGATAAAAAGATTGTTTAAGTATTTTTCGAGTTTACTGGCCCGTTAAGCGGCTTTCCGTCCGACGTCCAGAACTCACACGAACTTTAAATATTCACAGTCTAGTTCAAAAACTCTTTACAGTAGCCAATAGCTACGAACTTTTAATAGTTCGTTCTGTGCTTTGTGCAGTTTGCGGAAGTTGGTGTGTTATCCTGCGTGTTACTATATCTCTAATGGGAAATAATTGTTTTACGTGTTTGATAATTTAATACCCCACAAATGGGGTCATGTTTATATTTAGTCAAACACCTGGGATCCTTCCCCCACTTTTAAAACTCTAGATTCCAATTCCAAAATTGACAGTCTGCAAGGACCCGACCAGTTTCGTAACCAACTACGACGGAACAGATGGCGCTAGAGTAGCTGTTTTTTTTACTTTGTCATTCTTTAGCCTCCTCGTGACCACAGCTGCTACAAAGCATCTGAAATGTCGGACTGTATAAGTAGAACTAATATGTTTCGCGTTTTAAACCGTTAAAGTGTTTGATTGAATTTTTATAGAGGTTTGAAACTTTAGACCCATTACGCCTCTCCAGAGTGGGTTAGTTAGTTATAACGACGACCGCCACTAAAGTAGCTAATAATCGGAACTGTCTAAGACTAGCCAATGATACATACTCCTACTTTGCTGTCAATTGCAATCGCAAAGCCAAAATAGGTCGACATCTTCTCATCAAGTAAACCATATGCTTAATTTTCCTCCTCTAACATAAAAAAAATTAAATCAGCTCAGTATTAAATACTGTCTATAGTTTACGCGAGTAGTACACATTTAAATAAAACACTTTAACGGTTTAAAACGCGATATATTAGTTCGTGGTCACCACCACGGCTGCTGCAAAGCATCCGAAACGTCGGACCGAAGTTAAAAATCATTTTCAAATAAGTTTAACTAATATATCGCGTTTTAAACCGTTAAAGTGTTTTATTTAAACAGCTCAGTATTTTTAAAGATTGGAACTTAGATAAATAGACCAAAAAACCATTTCCCCATGTTTCGTGGTAGAGTAAAACTATTTGTAGCTTATATGCAGATGTAATCTTAACACATCTGCAAGTGTAAATTGGTGAAAGCTGGTGCATATTTAATTTACTTGATTAAAACTGCTTATTTACTTACTCTAAAGCAGCAACGTCTTGGTCTCCACTACAAGAATTAAAAATACTAAGCTACGCCATTTAAAAGTTGGTTATTAAAAATTTTGTTGAAATAAAAGTTATTCTATTCCACCATTGTATGGATATCCAGCAAAAAGATAATTAAAGAGAAATCATCAGAAAAACTAAAAACTAGAAATACATTTATACCTAAACGTGATTAGATCCTGACATCTATTCCCAGCGGTGGGACGATGTAGAATAAAACAGTAGATTACGTTTATATAACCTCTTATTAAACATGTTTATTGTAATGTACATCTAATTATGGGCTTGTCACTTTTTAACATTGAGTTTCATTTAAATAAAACATGTCTAACGGTTTAAAACTTGAACTAAATAGTTTATTTATTTACAATTTTAACTTTAACTACGGCCCGAGGTTCGGTCTGCTGCAAACCATTTGAAAGGTCGGGCCGTCGTTAAAATAAATTGTACACAAGGTAACTAATGTATTTGGCGTTAGCAACCGTTAAAAGTGTTTTATTTAAATGAAACTTAAGGTTGCAAAGCGTGAAGCTCACAATAAGTCTTATGTATACTCGCGCGAAAATACTTTCTTGTCCATTATGAAAAAATAAAAAAAGGTTTCCCCATACTCCAAGTGTGGGGTAATTGGGATTTTAGTTTTTAGTTAAGCGTTTATTTACATTACCGTATGAACATAATATTTAATATTTTATTCCAATTTTCAGGTTTTACATTTGCACGTATTTGATTACGATCGATTCTCAAGAGATGACTCCATTGGTGAAGTTTTTCTCCCACTCTGTCAGGTATGTCAATTCAAATCCTAGATTACTGAATAGCCATGAAGGGTTGAAATCCCGGGGGTAAATGGTTTTAGTTGAATCGATTTAAATCCCGGGCAAACAGAAACTTGTCTATAAATCGATGGAAAAGCGGAAATAAAATGAGTCATAATAAAAAAAAAATTAACGGACATTCAAACAAATCATTTCACAACGACAAAGAAGTGCCAGATTCGGGTCAGCGCAAAAAAATATCTGAGTGTCTATGCAGACGTAAAAAACTCTGCCCATTTTTACACATTAGGGGCAGAAAAAATATCTGAGTGTCTATGCAGACGTAAAAAAAACTCTGCCCATTTTTTTACTATATGTAGCGGCAAAAAAATATATAATTTGTAAAAAATCAACAGTATCTTGTTTCTTCAGTCACAGTTGACAGACGGGCAAACAACGAAATCTTAGTGGTGATAAAATATTGAATAACTTAAAAAATAAACGTTAATCGTGATACACTCTCGTCTTTGTAAGTTTCTTTCAATTTTAACTTTGCTAAGAAGTCGTTAAACTCTAATTACTAACTTGGTTAACTTTTAACGCCTGTTAAATTGACGAGCAAAGTATAGTTGAGTCAGTCACTAACTGTACCGTTAGGTCCTCAGTGATATTGGCAAATGGTTTAAAATCTGTTACGAGGTGCATACGCAAATGCCATATTGTAACTATTTTTATTATTAAAACTTATATATTTTTAGACTAACTAAAGATGAGAACATCAAAAGATAGATGAATCTATACTAAAAAATGAGCTGAAAAGTTTGTTTGTTTGAATGCGGTAATCGCAGGATCTACTGGCTCGAATTGAAAAATTATTTTATTAGTTAAGAGCTTATATCGAGGAAGGCTATAACATCGCTCTGTGAGCAAAGATACAGCGAGCGGCGACATTTGGATTCACAAAATAACTATCCTACGCGGGCGAAGTCGCTGGCACAGCTAGTGTGGAACGAATTACCTTTGTCAGTCGACGACCGTCTCTATAAAATCGCCTTAATGATTAAACGAAAGGTCCTGAGTTCGAATCTCAGGGAAGCAATAGCTTGTGTCGGTAAGACAAAGTCTGCTCAACTAATCGTCTCTATATAAAACACATCAGTGCTACGGACACAGAAATGCATGTCGCCCCCTGCCCCGGCGCAAACTATATGTTAATAAATAAAATTAAACACATATATATTAAGATGTAAAATTAAGTAATTGTTAAGAACATATTTTTTATATGTGATTGAAATCATTGAAATTTAATTAGTGGCTTTTATTAATATTATGAATGTTTTAAGGATTTTCGTAAACCCCGATATGATCTCTTATAGTTTTTTCTGCCTCGATCTTTAAGACAGATATTCTGAATTTCCAGGTTGACTTCAGCGAGAAACCTTCGTTCTGGAAAGCCCTCAAACCACCAGCTAAGGACAAATGTGGGGAGTTATTGACGTCGCTCTGCTACCACCCGAGCAACAGCGTTTTAACTCTGACACTACTCAAAGCCAGGAACCTCAAGGCAAAGGATATCAACGGCAAATCTGGTGAGTGGATATGCACTATTTCCTTGCGCATAAGCAAGCGAGTTAATCTTGATATGTACGTACCCCGTCCCATGCTGCTACATCGTAATACAAAATTAGTTTTAAGTAAATTATTTTGTCTGATGAATCCTATAGCCGTAACACAGTAACTAAATAAACTGCTGATCTTTGTATATCTATACTAATATTATAAAGCTAAAGAGTTTGTTTGTTTGTTTGAAGGCGCTTATTTGAGGAACTAATAGTTCGAATGTAAAAAATATTTTGTTTGTGTGGGCTAAAGCATTTATCGAGGAAGGCTATAAAACGCGCCGTTACAACACATTGGAGAGACACAATGGCAAGTGTGGAACAAATGTTGCGAAAACGATACAAAATACCAAAGAATTCTGCATGAAAGAATTATTCCTCTTTAAATAATCGAAAAAATTGTCCCACACAGTATATGTCTATCTTTTAAGATTAACTTGCAAGAACGACGGGACGAGGACAACGTCAGGAGCAACAACTTAACTTTATGGAGTTGAACAAGAGGTTTTCAAAAACAAATTTGACGCTCAAAATAACTATTCTACGCGGACGAAGACGCTGTCGCATCTAGTATAAATATAAAATTAGATTTGAATTGAAGCATTAGAGACTCTCAAGTGCCAACAAATTAAAGTCGATTGCGTTCGTTAGATGAACTTTTGTAACTTGTAAACATGGGCTTCGTTAATTTGATTGATTCGAGTCAAACGGATAACTTATATGTGCGGACGGATATATAATTTGGCTGAAGGAAATTAATTGAGCGTAACTTGGCCTAACCTATATGCTTTTGAAGTTTGACTTAAAATCTTATCTAGGAGGAATATTCTCGTTGTGTTTATTGGTGTTAGGTTAAATCAGTGCATTTGTCAAAAATAATTTTAAATAGCATAGACAAGAAACACAGTTGATGATACATAGAAAAGGCGAAAAACTACGACATCTTACATATAGGACATGGTAAGCAGCCGCCATGCCCTGAAGGAAACTAACATCCATCTCACCGTGACCACGGCTGCTGCAAAGCATCCGAAACGTCGGGCGGAAGTTAAAAATCGTTTTCAAACAACTTTAACTAATATATCGCGTTTTAAACCGTTAAAGTGTTTTATTTAAATGTGTACTACTCGCGTAAACTATAGACAGTATTTACAAATGATACATTTTTAAAACTAGCAACTTTAAAGGGGACACAGTGAGTGTTAGTTAACACAATTTGCTTCGCAAAGGGGATATAATAAAAATAATAATAGTTCATTCGATTCACGTATTCTGGGTTTAAATCTTTAGAAGAAATAGAGTAGTGAGGTATCTGGATTGTATATAAATTATAACGAATTTGGTACAGTGAGTGCATATCATCCCATTAGTCTAAAGCTGTGTCTTACTAAATTAATAAATTAGGAAAGTATGATATAATTAAAACTAGAGAATTTATTTTCCGGAGCGCGTATTATGTCGATGTCATTAATAATTTTAACAGCTCCAAAAGAATTATCGTAGCTTATAAAAGGAAATTTCCGGGAAAAACTGCGCCGTTTTAATCACCCCTGGCTTCAATTACTCGCGAAAATAATAAATTAGCAAGAGAGAAATTCCCCGAAGTCCAGTAACTCGCCGGATTATTAGTCCGCGAAATATGCCAGTTGCTTATCTTCGCCACAGAATAGTAAAACCAGTAGTTCATTTCTATAACCACATGTAACTATCTAAATACCATCTGTGGTTTACGCGAGTAGTATTTTTATACTACACTTTGACGGTTTAAACCGCGATATATATTAGTTAAACTTATTTGAAAGTTATTTTAACTACAGCCCGACGTTTCGGATGCTTGGCAGCAGCCGTGGTCACGGGGACATTGTCACCAGACAAATAAGTTTAAATAATTAAAAAAAAAACTCTTTAACGTTTTAAAATGCGATATATTAGTTAAACTTATTTGAAAATGATTTTTAACTTCGGCCCGACGTTTTATTTAAATGTGTTCTACTCGCGTAAATTATAGACAGTATTGAAGTTTAACTAATATTTATCGCGTTTAAACCGTTAAAGTGTTTTATTTAAATATATAGATGTATATTTAAAAGATAGTAGTATACGAATAGTAAGTTATTTTCAATATCTGAATAAATTTTAAATTACGACTCACTATATTTAATAAGAATTATTTATTATTATTTATACAATATATCGATGCGATCGTATAAACAATCTGGGTGCTGTTTCTTCCATATTCGAAAATCCACAGACGTAAACTAAAACGCTGTTAAAGTTCACGACTTTTTCCTCTATGGTTCGTGATTCGCACGAACTTTTCGATCTTCCTGCCATCAAACTGTCCGCGTTATACTGTGCCATTAGCTCCTACAACTTAATTGGAGTCACATTTCTTCAGTTTCTTGATTTACAAACTCAGTTTGAAATTAATGGAGTGAGAAGTCTCGATCTATCTGGCTCGGGTGGCATATTGCTTTTTTCAACGGGATTCGCTCTGAACGATGGTCCCTAACTCGTTCGACGCTTATTAGACATAATGTACAACAGATGAAAGAAAGGAAAACTCGATTCTTCCATCCTTTTACTGGTTTTGTTCGTCTTTATTGTTTTTAATAGATAGAGGAAGATGTACAAACCTGGGGTTGACTTGATGGAAGGTAGAGTCACCTTGGCAAGATGCGCTATCTACCTTGCTTATTATACCTGCAGTTCGCAAATATACGGACTGAATCCGAAATGCGATTACACTTCACGACTTTCGTTATCCGAGCAAAAATGTATTATCCCTAACAATTTACCCATATTTCGATGATTGTTAACTTTTGCAGGGAATAGCAGCTCTATATACTCAATCGGTTAACGGTTTAAAACGCCATAAATATTAGTGAATCTCACGTGACGTGGAGACGGCTGAAAACACGTATATTAATGCAATTGAAGACGAGTTAAAATAAATACGCTCATTGTACGTAAAAAAATTGCAAACAGAGAAGCATAGAATGAAAATGGACTTAAGGGTTGCATACGATATCGTAAAAAGGCTGTGCTTGTCAACTTGAACAGGACAAAGGGTGATGAACACAACTCATTACAAACTTCCAATTGTCGACCGCAGTACAAAAGATAAATAAAACTTTACCTTCACAGCTGTTCGCGTTATTTCTTCTAGGTAAGGTGCTGACTGATACAACACCAGACAGTTTAATTTGAAAACGATGTTTTAATGTCCCACCGCTAGATTCATGTCTTAGGGTCTAATACTAGATATTAGATAAACGATAATGGCTGGTACGACAAATAATTCTTGAAATTTTCAAATAAAGAACTAGTCTTTCACTTTTAAATAAAACACTTTAACGGTTTAAAACACTCTCCCCGTGACCACGGCTGCTGCAAAGCATCCGAAACGTCGGGCCGAAGTTAAAAATTATTTTCAAATAAGTTTAACTAATATATCGCGTTTTAAACCGTTAAAGTGTTTTATTTAAATGTGTACTACTCGCGTAAAGTATAGACAGTATTTAGGCTTTCACTGATTAGCAGTCGAGGCCATTGAATAGGATAACCGGCATTAGTGCAGCACAGCTGCTGCTAATGCTGGCGTAAAACCATTTTTGCATCTTTAATTTAATTTAAAATTCTTATATTTTATTGAAATCATGTTTATTATTTATCATATCTATCATATACTTAATGCCAAATAAAGAGATTTATTGTGATTATATTTTTATTATTTTCCATGATTTATTAAACTATATGACGTTTTTCTTGTACTACAGCATAAAAAGTCTATTTATTGCAAAAAATATATAATTTAGCTAATTTATAATATATTTCTTAAATCCTTTGTTTAAGAAATCTCCTCTTTTTCTTCTCACAAATGTTATCTTATTAGAGCAACGTTACGACTGGAAATAAAACAATGTAACGTAAACAAAACTTGCTTACAAATTATTTTTCACTACGGCCCAAAGTATCAGATGCTTGGCATGCGTTAGTGTTTTGTTTAAATTTATACTATTCGCGAAAACTATAGACAGTATTATATTACAACGTTACTTATAACGACGTAACACATTTCGATGTACAGCTAATAACCAACGGTTCGTGGGTTCGATCTAATTAATTAGTAATTTGTCTGAAACATGTTGGACTTCGTCAATCTGGATATTAAATGGATGGGACGAATATCGAATTACCACCGTCCACAACCACCGTCCTCAACCACCACCGTCAACAGGTGAAAAGGCCGTGAAGCTTAATCGCGTTTCGGTTTCAGTCTGTGGATATCCGAATATCCAAAGCCAAAATAGGCCGACAGCACATCTAGTTTAAATCCTATAGGTTGGGATATCACCTACCATGAGCAGGTCAGACAAACATGGGGGTGAACTCCATCCTGTCTATCATTGATAAAAATAACAGTGTTTTAACGTTTTCATTTTCAGACCCTTACGTAAAAGTGTGGCTACAGTTCGGCGACAAGCGCATAGAGAAGCGCAAAACAGCTGTGTTCAAATGCACCCTCAACCCGGTGTTCAACGACTCCTTCTCCTTCAACGTGCCATGGGAGAAGATAAGAGAGTGCTCTTTGGACGTGCAGGTTATGGACTTCGACAATATTGGACGGAACGAGCTGATCGGACGGATATTGTTAGCGGGTACGTAACCTCGGATCTTGGAAGTTTTAGCCGAATTAACTTACCTTTGAAGTGACCTTTCTATCCGCCTCATGCACCGCTAACGGAAAAAGATATTGCCACGCCCGATAATGCAAATATATTTACTACTAAACCAGTAATGTATAAAAGTGAAATCCCGTTTCCCCTCGTGGGGCATGAGACGAACATATATGTGTGTCCGTTTCATTGATCGGTTTTTTATTTACAGGCAAGAAGTTGATCAGACATCTGTACCCTGCCCAACCAAACCAGTTAAATGTTTCCCCGGGATTCGAATCCATCACCTCTCGTGCTTAAGATTAAATAAACATACACATACTAAGACAATTTTCAAATGATGTAAAAACAATACTATGTGGCTGAAGTAAGGACCACTCAGCTAATTGCTATAGCCATGTCTGTAGTTTGTCATATTATATTTTCTTGACTTTCGTGTTTGTATGCTACTATGTATGTTTACTCACTATTGTATGTTTTAGGTAAAAAACGGATCGGGAGCGACAGAAACGAAACACTGGCAAGACATGATCACGAAGCCACGACAGACCATAGTGCAGTGGCATCGTCTGAAGCCAGAATAAATTGTTAATGAAGACACAAACGTCATAAGACTGAACGGTATAAAGAATATAATGAATTTCCCAATCACTTCTTGAATTTCAATGTCGGAATGGATGTGCCAAATTTTTAAGAGACCAGAAGTATAGACAACATTACTGTGGTCCGAAATTTGGAAAGTTCTATAAAAAATACAGTTCGTACTTTACGCGGGTAGTACACATTTAAATAAACCACTTTAACGGTTTAAATTGCGATATATATTAGTTAAACTTATTAGGCGTAGTCAGAGGGAGACCCGTGTCTCCAAGGTTGCTAGCAAAGCATGCAAAACGTCGCGCCATTGTTAAAAAAGAAATTTCAAATAAGTTTAACTAATATATATCGCGTTTTATACCGTTAAAGTGTTTTATTTAAAGGTTCTAAAAAGGATAAGAGTTTCAACCTTTCGTATGAAATTGGCTCCATACAATTTTTGTCACTCTCTTTTTGTAAGATGATGACAGAGACAAAAATTAATGCATTAACAAAGCCAATGGATACAACAGCCAAACTCAAATGCTCATATTTGCCAATCAACTTTAGAAAGTTTTTATTTTTTGTATATGACATCACTATACTAGTGTTGTCTTTTTCTAACACATTTATTTAATAATGGGGAGAATAAGGACAAAAGTGTTCTAAGCTAATCTTACGTTATCAAGTGATTAATAATAAAATTATTGTTTTATTCAATCCACTATCTTCTGCCGTATTTCTTTAATATCGAGGCAAAAAAAAACAATATTGTTTTGCTATAGCAATGTTTTCGAGCGATTTTTTAACAATTGTCACATCCATTTCGGACATCCTCTTCGCGACCTTTCTAGTGCTGTGCGAAAACAAGCAGATATTTTATCGAATTACCTGTCATTTTCACATTCTTCTACGATAGTATAAATATTTTTCGGTGAAACATCGTGTACATTTTTGAACAGACACTAAAGTTTTAAAACCAAATTTTAAAAGACTTACTTAATTTAACAACAGTATCAAAAGATTTCATCAACGCTTTTAATTTTCTATAGCAGGGCACTTTCTCATTGCTATGACATTTCTAAAAGCGTAAACTAAAGTGACAGTGACAGAAAAGTGACGCGCTTGAAAAACGTCAAAAATTGAGCAAGTTTTTTTTAATTCAAAAATATATGATAACGGATCTCGAGCGACAGCACGGTAAGTGATGCTCTTGTGAGTACAGTTCCTGTCATTTTTCAATTTAAAAATACTTTTTCAATTTACAAAAGCCGTCAACATCTTTGCGACACTTGGAAGTCACTATATATGTAAAATGTCTTATACGATAAGTATAAGATTTGATTATTAATTGGTATTGCCATTTTCTAAATAGAAAAATGTCTAAAATCAATTAATACGCCCTTCTAACGCTTTCCTGTGCTATTGACGTTGTAAGTAAAGAGTTGGAAAAGTCAATGTTAAATTATAATTAGAATTGTCTATTGTTATGGTAGCTGATATATTGTAATAAGAAAAAGTCGAGTTCGTATCGCACAAAATGAGTAGTTTGACATTTGACGTTTTATGATCGAGAAACGTCAATGTCAGTTTTTCCCTCAATATTATTAAAAACTTACTTTTTATCATTTTAGTTAATTAATTATTCTATTTTTTCCAAGTTTACTTCATAAATTTAATAGTTATTTGAAATCAATAAGAAGTTTAGTTTGAATAACATTTTCATTTATTACAATATAAATTTTTGTGGTTTTTAATAATATTGAGAATATTATTTTGTTGGTTTGTTGCAAGTAAACTAATATAGATCGTATCTCAAATCTAGTATAGAAGTAGCTAAATAATGTTAACTTTAATGTCAGAAATATATTGTGTTATTTTTATTTCTTGACAGTTCTCTTTACAACATAATGAACAACTGATAATAAATCAAGTTATGATAGAATAAAAGTAGTGTCAACGACGTATTTGTTGTACATATGGGAAAGATATGGAAAGTCAAATTCAAAACGAAGATTTATATCACGTACAGACACATGATTAAAAATAAATCATTTTAGCTAATTGTTACAATTATATTTAATATTCAGTTGAAATCGATGTTAAAATTTATTGTATACATTTTTGAAGTTTTATAATGCTATTACAGAAATTAAGGTTTTCCTATTTTTTTTTATTACTTTTTTTGTATTAATTTATTTGAAAAAAAAAACACCTTTTATTTAAAAAAAATGGGTAAGCCTTAACTTCGTACATTATGTAAAAGATAATAATATAACATAAATCGTTGTTACATTTAGCTGGAATTGGTGTACGTCGTTCTTGTGATTCGTCAAAAACAAAATAAATAGAGATCATGAACATTTTATAATATTAGATACCTGTTTATACAATAGATGTCGTGTAAAGTTATTCAACGACAGTGTATTTTATTGCAAATTAGAGTTTTTCTAGAGATATAGTATATGTGAACGAAATACTTACCGAGCTTTGGATAATATCAGTATTGCCAACATTAGTTAGTAATCGAAGATTAGGTGATTTTTTAACACTGTCTCATTTGTATTGGGACAAAACGTCGATTTAAGAGTCTGGAAATTGATTTTAGCAAATGTTTCCCATCTCTGTTCGGGTTATTGCGTATAAAAACGCGTATAAAACCTTTTTTAGACTCTTTGATTAGATAGACAGAATTTTGTCTCAAACGTGTCTAATGTTGATCATTGGGTATACCCCATTCCATGTTAGGTTATAGTAACCAGACGTTATTGAAAATAACATGAATATTAAAGTAGGTAATGCACTAATTCTAGAACGAGCCTTATTGCATCATCGTGGAAAATTCTAGTTGCATCTCTGTCTGTTACATAACATTAGATAAAGATAGCATGACGTTTGTCGACATGACTAGATTGTAGAAGACAGAATGCGTATTTGGGAACTAGACTTAACTCCTACCTTAGGGCTGTCCAAACAGAAACATATTGATAAATGAAAAGTCTTACTATATTTTAATTTAAAAAGTCTTTGACGTATATATTAGATTTAAACTGGTATTATATTATGGATTATGGGTTTTTACTTTCTTTGGTCAGCCCTATCGATTAGATAATTCAGTATCTAGTTCTGAAGTGCTATATTTTTTACTCTCGGATTTATAATGTTTTGAGAGCTCTTGTACGGTTAGAGAAGGCTTTTAAATTATTTTTGCTACGCATTTTGGGAGAGTTTTATTTTTCGTGTGTGTACGCTATCGCTTAGACAAGCGGGCCTGAATGCTTCTTTATGACATTGATGATGTTTACTTAATCTATATCTATATCTTTATCTATCTTAGTCATCAAACCTTCTGAGAGTTCTGGGTTTCACGATAACACAAGTTCTCTATTCATTCCGATTTTTGTTATAATCTGTATACATGACAGCTAGACAATGTCCTATGTGTCTATATGTTTTAAAGAAGCATTTTTAAATATTAGAGTATCTTCATTGGCATATCTCGTAGAGAATTTTTAAATGTAAGTAAAATCGAAAGGTCAACATGAGAGGAATTAATCTTTAAATGTACATAAAATATAGGTATTTTAAACGTCATTTTCACTGACATTCTTCCGAAATCACTACCTCTTTCGTTTTACCTCTGGTTTTATACAACTTTACCGCGCAAAAGTACTCTAAGAATTATTTCACTGTGCATATTCTATATTTTTACGTTGTGTACATGTTTAAGTTGTAATTTTAAAATTTTAGGAGGCAAGTTGCTAATTTATTTATTGATCAAAGTAATGATGTCGATTCACATATCAAAAATACATTTTGTTAAAGCGGAAGCCGTCACGTTACTTAAACAGTAAACTATTTTTGTAAATTTTCGTTGTTCGAAACAATTTTCTACAACATTTTTTGTAATTATCAATTAAAACAAATTACAAAATAAACTCCTGCTTTGTAAAAAGCGTCGAGCACAACTGTTTTGTGTGATATCTATAATTCATTGTAAAGTCGTCACCGTCGTTATATTTTTTATATGACCATCGTTCTATACTAATGTCAAACTTCGCGCGCTTTTGAACCGCCTTTTTGATGTTTGGCGCTTTATCATGAAAGAATCAGCTCAAAATATCGTAAATGCAATCGGTGTCTATTTTGTGCAATATAGTCTGTCTCGATTTTAAAAATACATTTGTAAGCCGTCACAGATAAAAAACTACATTTATCTGTAATAGCAGAAAACAAACACATTCTTTTTAAGCAGTCTGTCAAAACTCAAATTGCTAAGTGGAAAAAAGGCTATCACAGATCCAATGTAATTTTTAAAACGAGACTATGGTACAATATTAAATGTTATATTAGAGAAATTGTGATTTTAACAATATAGTTGATTATTCGTATAGTTAAATTTAAATATTATGTAAAGTAAGTGATCAATGTTTAGATATAGTTGACAATGTTAAAGGTGTAATTATAGACTGTTAATCGCTTATAATGTTTGTTTTTGAGTCTGTGCCCATTGTACTGCATTCATAGTACGGTCAGAAAAAATGATACGAGATCCAAATTTTCGTAAGTACTTAAAACGTGCTGGTTACGTCATGTACATTTATCCTTGCTTACCTGCGTATGTTTTTTATACCTAAGGGGACTGTCGCTAAAACCGTACCCTTAATGTCTAATGAAGCTTTCCTCATAAGCTTTTAAATTTGGTGTAGTGTAATTTATTTTTAATGGTTTTTGCATATAGATCGCCGGTTCGATCTTTGGAGATACAAAATGTAACTTTCTTTTTTTTTTTTTAATACACCAAATACAGTACAATGGGTACTGGATATCTAGCATAAAATATAGTTTCTCTAACATTGGATTAGGTTATAATTTGACTAAATTGATTTATATTTGTATAGATAAATGTTCGTATTATACAAGTACGTAAGTGTTGACAATTATAATAATATATTCTGTATAATTATATGCGATTCATTATTCTCAAATAAACTATTGAGTTAATTGTTTTTTTTCATGCGAAGTAACTAAACTTGTGCCTACACTGTGGGCTTTGAAACTTGAGGTCGGGAAATCGATCGCGACTTGTGCTCCCAAAAATTTGAATTAACTTTTTTATGTGTCTGCTCTAAGATCTTTTGTTTTATGTAACGGGTGTATAAATAACGTTTTGTATGCTTTCCTTTATTACAGACGTTTAACATTACAATATAGCTACTACATTGTATAATCTTGTCTGAAATTGAACTATGTATTTTATTGCAGACATTCCTATTATCATAAAATCTTTAGGATATAATTAAAGCTAATCGATTATTAGAGCCATAACAAAACTATAACTTTCACAACACTATCAAACTTCTCTTTACGGGGCTAAAAATAAAAGACACATTAGAAATTTTGTATTTTTTATTGAATAACTTTTCTATTAATATCAATATCACAATTATCTTATAATAGGCAGGTATTCAAGTAAAAAAGGCCGATGAACTTCTAAAAAAATAAAACGCTGATTCGACGATATTATGTTTCGTTTTTGAATGAACAGGAAAAGGATGTTGCGATAGAATTTCAACAATGGTCAGCCATTGTGCATTTTAAATAGAAACTAGAAAGCTGAAACGGCATGGGAAAGTTTTTTGATGCTGGCAAGGTTTGTGTCGAAATAACAATTGAATATCTCAACATTCAAAATTGGAACCACACGGTAAAAAAATAAACAGTATCACTGGTACGTAAGACTCTTGATTTACAGTTTGACGTGTGTCAACTGTCATTTTGAATTTGAAAGAACGCGGCGCATCATTTCGAAATTTTGAAGTTATCTAATTAGTTGTCATGGTTTTCGCGCTTCTCCATAAACTAAATTTTTATTCTATTTAATAATTTAGGGTTTCTTCTCCTCTTCCTTCGTCTCGGATTCTGGAGGAGGTGTTGGGAGCTCAGGGTACTCCAATTTGGCGCCATCCTCGCAGGTGAAGATTGGACAACAGCCGGGGAAAGGAGCTGTCTTGTTTGTCTTTTCTGTGAAAAATATACAGGTTATAAAATAGTCGTTTAAACTTTTTTATTCCATATTTTATCGATTTAAAAAGAAACATAATAAGATATTAAAAACTTTTTGGTCTATATAACATTAAGAGAGGGTAAGGGTTAGAATAATAAAATACTAAAAACGAGACGAGACATCAAACAAAGTATAATCTGTTTTGCTATTAATTAATTATAAATCAACAATACTCGTTAAAAAAAATCTAACCAGTGTCAAGTTTGCACTTGGGGTTGGCCAATGGAAGAGGACCACAGTCCTCAACTAGCTCCAACAGCCTCGGTGGCTCATCCTCGCTGATGACGCAGGTGCTGCGGCCACAGAATGGCGCAAGGTCCCACGGGTTACCAGGTTCCACGGTCGCGCAACGAGTTGACGCGAAGCAGAGGCCAGGGAAATCTGGAAAAGCAAATAAGGTTTAAAAGTTTATTCAGCTGATATTACAAGACTAGGAGGTATAGAAATGTTTACTGATGTAACTATATTTCTTTGTTATAATATTTTTATAACTATTGATCGACGCTGTAGCTTAATAGTTAAATGTTGGCTTAATCACGGGGAACCAACAGATTGTTTCGGTCGGGCAGAGTACAAAAGTCTGATCAACTACTTTTCTTTCAACCGATCAGTAAAACAAACACAGAAATGTGTTCGCCCCATGCCCAACGGGGGAAAGGAGATTTCACTTTTCTTGTATTTTTATCAAGGTTGCTTATTTTAAACTATTGCCGCTTCTTCGACGTTTTATTGTACCAATTCGAAAGAAGAATTTTTGCTTCAATGATTTAATTTTGTATGAATTTTAATTAAATTACAATAAAATAATTACATTTTTAAATTAAACAGATCTGTGTAGTTTAACAAGACCGAAACTAAAAACAAAGGTGTCTATAGTTTACGCGAGTAGTACACATTTAAATAAAACGTGGTCTCCCCGTGACCACGGCTGCTGCAAAGCATCCGAAACGTCGGCCGAAATTAAAAATCATGTTCAAACAAGTTTAACTAATATATCGCGTTTTAAACCGTTAAAGCGTTTTATTAAAAAAAAAACGGTTTCAAAAAACCCTACTAGACATGTATTTTACGTAAAGCTTTTTAGATCATTGAGCTCTACCATCGTTTCTTGACATCCGATGACGTCATCTTCTCATAAAATATCGACAACAGAAAAAAGCTTTACAAAATGGCCGCGTACAAACAACAATAAATATATGCGTTCGTTAAATAAGCAAATGATAAATTCTGTCCTCCATTGTTGGACAAAATGCAATAACGTATATACGAAGTCTAGATCTTAAAAGCCGTTGGCCGTGATCTAGATTAAAAGTTCAGCCATTCGGCTACAGTCATTTAAATTAATTACCACGTTTACTTAGTAGGGGACGATATTACGTCCATTGAAAAAATATATAAAGATAAGCTTATCTGTGCGTTGAAGTATTATTTTTACAACAGGCTTAATTTTGACCGCTCAACCCGGCTCCAACATTTGTCTAATCAATTAATATTTTTGAAACATGTTGGACTTCGTCTGGAAATTTGAATATGAAGGAATATACGAAAAGGATGGTAGGAAGATACGAAAACCGCCCGGGTCACGAACCAGCGTCCACAGATGCAAATGCCGTCGCCAGTCAGTGGATTTCCGAATATCCAAATCCGAAATACAACAACGCATCTAGTTCAAATGTTATATGGGTATTTTATCTACCATTAAGTAAACTATGGTGGTCTGTCCTCCTCTATCTTAAACGGGTTAAAACGCATAATATATTCGGCGCAGGAGTCGTTCGTACCTTTACGTATCTTTTATTGCTTATACTAGGCTTCTTTTAAACTTTGACAATATATATGGAGAAGAAAAATGATTTCACAAGACTTTTGAACTCTCATTCGTTTAGTAACACTTCAAGAACGATTTATACTCGGACCACCCCGATGCGTCACTTGTAACGTAAGCCGCAGTGTAAACAGACCCTAATAAGCCTGACCCACTTCGAACAATGTGGGAGGTACACAATTACCTGAATAACTGTATCGTATTTGGAAACCCAACGAACCGTGGATTTCGTGCTACCGTATTTATGGTGTGGTGAAATCCGGTAATGTGTCTACGCGTTATTTATAATAGACAAGCTGTGTCAGCGACTTCGTCCGACACATTTTTTTTAAATCATTTAAATAGGAATCATTCTTTCATACATATTTTTGGGTACCTCGTAATTTAAAATTTAATCAATACCAATGTTAAACTTACGAAATAAAATATATGAATGAATACATTGAGGAATTTAATGATCAAAGACGTGACATGGTAGCTCAAAAGGTAGAGTAAAAGCTCAATACATTACTATTAAAAAAAATTTTTTTTAGAGTATTTCCATTGAAATTTATTAAAGGGAAAAAGACAATGAACTTTTGTAATTTGATTCGGTTTACAAAGTGCTGTTGTAACAGCATTATCATCGCTTACTGAAATGTTCTCATATCGTAAGTTAACCTAAGCATTAAGTTATGCAATATTAGTCAAGTAAGGCACGACTAATCGACCCAGTTACAGCCAGACAGCACTTTCACTTAGTTACATAAAAATGCAGACTTTTCTAGTATCATTAATCAGACGATTATAAATGATGGCAGTGATGAGAAACGATCGCCTCTGTAGCTAAATGGTTAAACGTGTTGCCTTGCGTTAAACACGAGAGGAACTGGCTTTGCATTCCGGGAAAACAGTAGATTGTTTCGATCGGGCAAGGCATAGAAGTCTGATCAACTACTTTGCTGTAAATAAAACCGTGGGAAACGGCTCGAGGGAAACGGAGGAATTTCACTGTAGCTCAATGGATGAAAGACCAATACTTCGGTTAAGTCGTCTGTGTAATCGTCTTCTTTTTATCTTCCTTTATCTCTGACTACTTGAATGTTTATAATTTAATTAAGGCACTTGACTTTCGAAAAACCCACTTAGAAAGGAAAATACTGTGTATTCTTCAGTTTAAAACAATCTCAACCAAATGAGCTACCTCATGCGGTGTTTACGAAGTATCTCAAACCTTTTGTGAATTCAATGAAATACAAAATAAAATGATATTTTGCACAAACAAACAACAAGATACCGGCAGAAAGTATTGACATTTAAAAAGGAAGTTTTAATCGCTTCCTATACAGCTCGAAATATTTAATTGCACATTGCAATGTTAAATTTGGTGAAAGCAAGGTGCCTTTTATAGAATAGGGAAGTACATCGAGTATTTTAACAATTTTAATGACTTATTTTTGTTTTATGTCCATGGTCTTGGCAGGTAAAAAATATTTTAATCAGAAATGACTATTTCTCTCATTAATTGGAATTAGGTAATCTAAAAAAATTACGACACGATTCTGACGGCCTCGCTGGTGGTAATGCAAGGACTAATAACCAATAGGTCACGGTTTCGATCCCACCGAGTCCAACATTTTCAAATTTTCGTTCGGGTCGGTTTCAGTCTGTGGATTTCCTGGATTTTTTGTGTCATTTTTTAAATTAGTAGGTATTATACATTTTCAAATTACTAAACTGTTCAAAACTAAACTTATAACTGAGACAGTATAACAGAATACTTTAAAAACATAATCTTACAACAGACGGACGAAGACACGCGACCAAGTGTCCGTCTTCACTTTCTTAGTTGTCAATACTTACGCAACAAGTGAAAACAGTAGCCAACGCTTAATATGCGCTAAATATGGCCAATCAATAGAAAATTACAGCTTACTTCCATAACGGACTGTTATTAGGCAAGGTTTCTAATGCGATGTTGTTTATAAAACTTGCTATTGTTTATAACTAACTATGCCAGGCGACTTCGTCCGCGTGCTATTTTGTTATATATTTTGGGAAATTTAATATTTCTTTTTGCAAATAAGCTCCTTAGCTTTATAAATTACTAGCTGTGTCAGCGACTCTTAAATAGTTTTTTTTTGCAAACCTACTGTTTAACTCTATAAATTAAAGCTGTTACCCACGATGTCATCCGCGCCCCGTCGTTCTTGCAAGATAATCTTAAACGATAGAGATATAGTGTCGAGGACATTTTTTAGAACTTCAATCTCATTCCTTCATACATATTTTGACTTTTCAACCAACGGAAGCCCTCAAAGATTTGAATTGTTCCCGTTTTTTTCTACATTTCCCACCGTTTCTTTGCTCCTATTGGCCGCAGCAACCAGCACGAAAAGAATTTTTCCATTCGAACCACTAGTTTCTGACGTTAGCACTTTTAAGCAAACAAACAAATTAGATCAGATTCAGATATCAGTAAAGATTAAATTTACCGTATGATTTACTTCATACGTAATCGGATAAGAGAAGAGAGGAAAGCCGACAGAAGATTAATAGAGTAACAATTCAAACAACTTTTGCCACGAAGTTCTAGAACAATCCAAGGTCGTGTTAGCTTCTGACTCATTTTTCTCGACATTGCATAAACCTCTTACACTCCTAAGGACACCGGGAAGTGGCATGACAAATGCCAGCTTGAATTTAATTATAACACTTCATTTATTACTTTGTTAAGTAAAATTGACCTTTAGTACGTATCGTAATTCGTTATATAGATAAGAATGAAACATAACTTTTATTTGCTTTCAAATCTATTGCTTTTTTTACTATAGTCAATCATGTGCTTGTCTATAACAAAAAAAGTTGGCATCCCAACACAACATCTTAACAATATGTTACCTAATTTAGCTTTGGATATTCCAGTGTAGATAAATCAATATTGTCTGTAGTGCACGCCAGTAGTACATATTTAAATGAAACATTTTGGACGGTTTAAGACGCGAAATACATTAGAAAAATTTATTTTAAATGTTTTTTTTTCAACTACGACTTAGCGTTAAAACGCGATATCTTAGTTAAACTTATTTAAAAAAGGTTTTTAACTTCGGCCCGACGTTTAGGATGCTTTGCAGCAGCCGTGGTCACGGGGACACAACTTATAATATATCGCGTTTTAAACCGTTAAAGTGTTTTATTTAAATGTGTACTATTCGCGTAAACTATAGACAGTATTTAGTAAATACATTTTACATTAACTTTCTTGTACAATGTTTATTTATTTATTTGCCCAGTGTTATTACCGTTATAACGGTTACGACTAACTAAATATCGAAGAATCATGAATGTAAAAATGAAAAATTTCGTTCTAAAAGAGAGTTGAAATATAATATGCGCATATATTTAGAAAAAAAAACTCTTTTAAATAAGTTACTTAAACAATAACATCTACAGCTATTAGCTCTAGAGAATACCAAAGAATTATTCACTTACTAAGCTAAGTAATTTGTATGTAAATTTAATACATTCTTGCAATTCAATTTCTCAATTTTAACCCTCAGTTTGCGGTTGCTATATATCCGATTGCGTTAAGCACGCGGTTAGAGTTTTAATTGGTGTAACCTGTTTTAATTATTAAGGTTTTTGTTCATTGGTGTAAATGTGTACGCATTACCTATACTTTACGGGAGTAGTAGATATTTAAATATAACACTTGCAACTGTTTAAAACGCGAAATATATTAGTTAACTTATTCACAAATCAGCCGTGGTCATGTGCGGTCAATGGGATCAGATTTCAAAAATTAAACCTTGTCTGTAGTTTATGTGAGGAGTAGTATTTAAATAAAACACTCAACGGTTTCAAACGCGAAATATATGAACTCATTCACAGATCTGCGGTGACCACCGCTGCAAAGCATCGGAAACGTCGGGCCATGGATGGATAAAATTAAAAATATGTTGTCTAATACGTTTAAAATTTTGAATCGTTGAACGTGTTTTATTTAATTTCTCATGAACGTTAAATATGTCAAATGATTTAAATTAATTTTTATTTAATGTCTGTTTCAACGCTAGTCTATGCTATAAAAAAATAAGAGAACCAACTAACCGGAAATGTTCTTTATATCTATTTGAACTTAACAGTGAACGCATGAGGTGAAAGGTTTTGAAAGTTTCAGCATTGATGCGGTTGGTCGTGCTACAATTCATCTACTTTCTCCATGAATTATTCAACATATGTCCCACCGCTGGGCCCAGGCTAATGTGAGAGAATTGCATAGCTCAGACCCACCGCGCCATTAAGTTAAAGAAAAAGAACAAGGCGCATTACCTAAGGTACGATGGTGACTTCTATTTTCAAATGTGATTAAAATGTTTATTTTATTTAAAATACATTTAACGGTTTAAAATGCGAAATCTTTTTTTTTTAATGCAAACATATTAATTCAAGTTTTTAGTATCTAAGAATAACTACTCTTATTGATTGAATCTTTAGCTATTTAAGATATATATTGAATGAGGACCCTCTCTGCTAATTGGTCTTGCTAACAGATAGCGTTAAGCGTGAGAGAGTGTGTTCGAATCCCAGGGAAACAATAGATTATTGAGAATAGGGTACAGAAGTTTCATTAATTACTTGCCTGTAAATAATATCGATCAGGTTAACGGACACAAAAATGTGTTCGCTCCGTGCCCCACGAGGGGAACTAGGATCTTGTTGATCTTAAAATAGGAACATAATTTCGGACATTTAACTATATCTATTTGCTGAGTGATTCATTTTAATTTTCTGACATTTGGTCTGTCAATTTATCACTTCAGGGCCAAGGCTATACGTTTAAGTAGAACAAAATTGGTCTCATTATTTTTTACTCAGTGATTTAATCTGTACTTATTCAAGCATGAACCGTGATTCAGTTGTTTCGTTTATTTTTAGACTAACTTTCACCCGCGAACACTTTGGCAAATTCATAACAAAGAAAAAATAACAATGTCATTTCACCAAATTAAAACAATTCTAATAAAGAACTCAAATAGTCTCTTTATTACAATTGTTTTAATTTGGTGAAATGCAATTCTTTAACAGAATAATAAAAAAACAATTATTTATGAACGCAATAAAAATTATATTCTTTTCTTAAAGATGTTGAAAACTGAAGGTAGAGAATTGTCTCTACCTGTTCTATCAATGTCTATCGATCTATTTAGGCTTTGGAAATTGGGCTTATGACGGACCCAACTTAATTACATTTTTGGACCAAGATACCTGTCAAAAATTAAACCTTAAAAAAAAACACATAAAAGTGACATTTCAAGATGAGTTATGTCATTTAACCCACGATATAAAGAAAAGTGAATCTGGTTTTGTGTTCTACATATTATCCTGTTGAACAACTACAAACTTGAATCACCGGTTACACAACGGCGACTGTAAATCGCGATCGAAATATTGACAGTTAATGATTATATAATACATATATATTTAGATATTTTTAATGAACCAAATTCAACTGTTACTAAGCGTGTTTTAAGCCGTCTTCAACAATTATCTTATTCCAAATAAAAGAGAAAGGAAACTTAATTTACTAAGCGTATTAAAAATATAGATTATAAATCATGAGGTAGATTTATAATCTGTATTTTTTATACGATTTTTTTTTCATGTTACTACAGTCAGTCAGTGGTAACTGTAAACGGTAAGTAAACAGTTTTTAGATAAAAAAATATTCATGAGACAGGCAGGACTCGAACCTACGACCCTAGAGTTGGAATATTAAGGAAGAAGGAAGAATATTTTTTCACCAGGGCACATGCTTCACCAGTAGGGATACCATGTCACTAACATAAGTTTGTGCTTATGAAATTTCTTAATCCTGTAATATTGTACTTCCGGTGTAGTATAATTTAAAATCTGTCATTTTTAAGAAGATAACTGAAATAAAACTTTAAGATTGTCTATTTTATAATAAAAATGTACGGTAAATGAAGAAATAAGCTTAGCTACATTCAGCATATCATTGTCATTCGGGCTGTTCGGCCGATGTGAGCGAGCTACATTGTTAATCTTTTCGATAGAAATTTAGTTTCCGATCATTTATTTTTAATTTAAAACATTATCTCGTTGTTTTTCTTAACACTGGCCACTTAGAAAAAAAATCCAAGTACAATAAGATGATAAACCTATACGCAATATGCAAATAAGAAATAATTAGTATAATTATAACATTTTACCATCTTAGCTGTTACAAAATTAATTACACCGATTGTTGCAAGTCAACACGCAATCTCATAATTGTAATTGCTTTACACTGATTAATTCCTCTGTTTTATCTATAAGGTAAATATAGCATTTTTTGTCCTATAATACAGTCATTAAAAGGTACATTAAGTAAAATCTGTAATTAAATACGTACGGTAACAAAAAAAAATACAAAACAAAACTTTTTTTATTTAAATTATATTATTTGATACACAACGAGCTTAAAGCTTCATGTTTTACATTGAAAACTTTAATATGTTAGTGCACATGGCAGCACTACATAAATTAATTTTAAATTAGAAATGGATGGTTCAAATCGTGTTCGTGTCGTATTAATTTTTTAATTTATAATATTTTTTTTCCGTTTTTATTTCATAAAAGAAGAATTAATTCTTCTTAATTTGATCCTGTAAATTTTCTGTTAAGTAATAAATAGAATCAAATAGCTTTCCACAGTTCCACATACTTTGATTACAGATAAGAAATACAAATTACGTCAAAATGATATCAAAAATTATTTAATTACAATTAATAAAAAAATCAAACTGACCTCTGAGGACATCAGCGGGAATCAACCGCTTAAAAGTCTTGCCTCCATCTTCCTTCTTCTTCTCTTCTGCGGCAAAAGCCAGAGCAAAAACAGCCAAAACAACTAAGTATTTCATCTTTAACACCTTACGAGTGCCACGCGAGGTAAAAAAAAATATCAAACGTCAAATTTACGCGCGCTTTTCGTTTTGACAGCTCCGCGACGAGCGACTGAGTTGCGCGATCTCCTTTCGCTGGGTTTTATCCGGTGTTGCCAGGGGGGGAGTGAATGGGAAAATGGCGGACGCGGGGTATTATTTTTATTTTATGATGTTTCAGGGTTGGCTTTGTTGCAAAATTCGTTGTTTTGTTGATAATCGTGTGAATGATATGTGCATTATTTCTTGCTTTGTAGCATCGTTCTAGAAGATATTGCGTAATGGATTATCCAATCCACCGATTAGGTAGGGCTTCACGTCGGTTCTATGAAGAATTCAGGACGGAATGTATAATACAAATAAAAAAAAATGATATAGCTTTCGAAAGCTAGATAATTCGAAGTAATCTAATTGTTATCTAGAAAACATTATTGGTTAACAAGCTAGCGAGACTGACTTCAGACATAAATGTATGTTGGCTTATTGTGAAACGTTCGGCGATATTGTTTTCTTAATTTGGAGGAACTATACCAGTATGTTGTAATAATTTCACTGTCTAAAATCCCCTTTCACCTATGTGGCAGACATATTCCTGTGTCTGTTTACCGCATCAGTTATTTGTAAATAAGCCTGTAATGGTATGTAATGTGTTTAACCACTGAGCTATGGCGACAGTAATAATAATCGCATGTAACGTGTTTCAGATTAAGACGTTAATGTTTACGTTGCGAAAACATTATACACTTACTAAGTAACAGTAGACGAAAACTAGCAATTAATTCTTACAATCAATCTGTGATGTTATACTTAGTCTGTTTTTAAACAAAACTGTAAGAAAAGTTATGTAACTATCAAAATGTATAAATAAAACATTATATATTTATCTTCAATACATTAATCTTATCAATTCTTTGTGTTTAATAATTTTGGTACAGACAGACAGGATCAAAGTTTTAATAACAAAGAATTGTAGCGTAACCAATTCTCAAAGCTTGGCTGTCAATGTAATTAATAACCATAGAGTTCAATTAACATACTAGTGTTATATATTTTATCTGTGGTCATGACAAATTGCGCGCGAACTCACTTTCACGACATGGATAGCAAAAAAATATTAATTAAAGTTAAATAGCTATTATATAGAATGTATTTAGTCCCTTCGTTTAAGTTGTACATGTAACCTTTTGTAGATCTGTATGTTTTTATTTTTAAGTTCTGTGTTTTTTTGTATATTATTATTTATTGTTTGTATTAATTTGTTTCGCCTACCTTGCACATCTCATTTTTCCTTTTTTAACTTTAGGTTGCCTGGAAGAGATCGCTTGTTAGCGATAAGGCCGCCCATTGCACTCCATTCTAGTATATAAGTTTTTCTTTTGTATCATTATGTATCGTTATTGTACAAAATAAAAACTTATATACATTTTTTTGTACAATAAAGAATATATAAATGACTTAATGAAAGTACCTAACAAATGATAAAAAGGTAAGTTAAAATAACAAAATTCTCAAAATGTGACAAAGCTCTGTAATACTACAATACAATAAGCTGAGTATTTTTTGGAAACTAAAGTATACTATATTTTTGTCATGATAATGTCGATACTAAATTGATAGTGATAGTTTTATTTACTATATTTTTTTATTATAATATAGTTATTATATTGTACAAAGGTCAACGTCAAATTCTAATGAGGTTTTTAAAACGATTATCAGTCCTGCATTTATATATAATTGTAAATAAGTGAAAAAAAAACATACATCTTGAACCACAAGCCTTGTGATATTAGCAGAACGATCAAAGGCGTACTTTATTAAATAATTTGTTTCTTTTTTATTTGAATCTTTATCATCTATCGTGTTTATTTACTAACCGTACAAAACTCAGTCAAATCCTTTCTCTTGAGCTTAGTAACGTCATTGATTCTCCGATAAGCTTTCATAACAGCATTGGGACATACAAAGTAATATATAAAACCTTCTTGGTTTGTTTTTGATTTCACACAATAGTCGATGCATTTAGGTGAAGTGACGTCTACGTTGTGAAACAACAAAATATGACGTCAGAGCCTTTGCTTTTTCGACTCGAAAAGAATTCAAAACATATCCCCGTTTTCCGGTGTGGGGCAAAGGGTAGACATATTCATGATTTGATGTTATTTCAGGCTCGGTGAGTACTTAGACTTCTGTATTCTAAACGAAATTATAGACTTGTTTCTCCGAGATTAGAAGAAACGAACTTTTGCGCTAAATACCGTTAAAATTGAACAATAAATTATTAACTAACTTACCAAGGTATTTGCATTTTGTTGAGTCATAATTCCAAAAAATCTATAAAGTAAATAAAAAAGTATTTAAAAAGTTATTCTTAAGAATCTAATCAATATATGTAGCCATTAGAGGCAGAGATATTCGTAGTCTAAAAATGTAAATCTACAAGAGCACAGTGACCGAAAATTGTTATAATAACATAATTCTTACACAAATAATAGTACAAATCCATTTTCACCTAAGTAAATTGCGCATTTTTATCCTCCTTGAAAATCGTGTTATTGTTATTAGGCCACTCTGGCTCTAGCAGCTTCATATAACCTTGCATTCATGTTCTTCGTCAAAATTGCATTCCGAATTAATTGTCTATGCTGACACTCAATACCGTATCGAATTTCTATAGACAATAAATTTCGCAATGATCGAATGAATGAGACGGTTCGCGGTTGAATGAAATGAGTGAATGATTTCTTTACGGTCAATTAGACATGTCGGACATTTTGTCGTTTAATAAGTTTGTGTATTTTCAAATGAAGTTACAGGATTCAATTTCAATTCATTTTCAGTTAAAGGCAGTATTTTATCTACAAGTAGATATTATATCTATATTCCAGTTTATATTATCTAAAATCCTTTTATGTATTAAAAACAAATCGACGACACGGGCGGGACTTGAACCGCCAATCAGAATATTCAGAGCCGCTGCTCTAATCAATTTGGATCTGCCTGTATCGTCAAGTTCTTTTCCTAACGGGATTTTAAATTTATATATTATTACATGTGAAAATAATATTTTTTTCTAGAATTCTCTTGTCCAAATGTTTTTATACAAATTATAATTAATCATATTAATTTTAATTGCCCGGCGTCTCATTGCCTAAAAATAATTTTCAAAAACTCGTACGGAATTGAAACTTATTGTGGGCACCCAAAGATTTCACAATTAACATAGAGTTTGAAGGATAATTATCGTTCTTAATTCTTTAAACAAAGGAGTTCTGTGTCATTGTTGTTCTAGATACACTTTTTAGTTCAAAGACAAGGCTTAATATAAACTTGAAAGTATACTACGCATCCTGATTTCTTTATGACAGACAAGATGCGCCTTTAAATAAAACACTTTAACTGTTTAAAACGCGATTTATTAATTAAACTTATTTAAAAATTTTTTTTAAATTTCCCTGGGCCCGGCCCCCCGCAAACCCCCCCCGGGTCGGGCCAAAGTTAAAAATCATTTTTAAATAAGTTTAACTAATATATCGCGTTTTAAACCGTTAAAGTGTTTTATTTAAATGTTACTACTCGCGTAAACTAACGACAGTCAAACCATTTTAGTACGATTCTAGATTGGAAACCGTGCACGGATAAAAAGCTATGAAGTGTAAGCGTATACACTCATAGCTTTTTTATCCGTGTACGTTATTATTACCAGATTTTTTACAAATCAAATCCACGACCCGTTTTAACAGCAATATCTAAACATGGCGGTGTAATGATTACATACAAATTAAAATAACAATGATAACCCCGAAAACTAAACAATGTGAATTATCTTTTCAATCATATCATTTCCCACGACCCTATTTGCTTGTATATTATTGTGGAAATAAAGTTTACTGTGTTTTATACTATCTACGTGCCCGACTGCACTTCTATTTCGAACAAGTCATGAATCGAATTCCAACCACCATGAGAGCATACACATACATACAGTTTTATTTGTTTTATGCAGAAATTAAGTAGACAACATATAAGTAAGGTTTTGCGTTTTTTTAATAACCTCCTTTCGTCATTTGTTTAAAATATTATTTCTTTTATATACGTACACTTGTATTTAGCATACAACTTGGTACTCATTTAGGTATCTACTTATTCGTTGTTAGCCGAAGCAAAGCACAAGTTTTGCATTGAACTTGGCTTGTTTTTTTACATTTATGTTTTTTAATCGGATTGTATTCACTTTGAAACAATTCGAAAATAGTTTAATTTGTCTACAGTGTATAATTTGTATATAGAATCGGTTTTAGCTCACCTTGTCCAGAAGCCTAGTAATATTTTATTATAAATTAATTTTAATTATTTATGGCTTCGTATTGTGACTTCAAATTATTCTTCCTATTAGAAATATACGTGCAGACAGAACCATTAATTTTATATATGAATAACGCAGTATATACCGTTTTCGACAGTAGTTGTTATTCATGTCATAATTCAAGTCAGATGCTAAATAATGTAACGAACTTTCACGTTTATTTCTTTAAAAAAAATAACACTCATTTTAAAAGACTCTTAGAAGTTATTGTAGAACTAATTAGACATACTAAAACTTATTTAATTGTGTTATTTTTGGTGTAGACTTCGAAGGTTCACCATTCACACTATGCCTAGATTTTTTTTAAAATTATTTAAGGTAGATTATAGAAAGCTTCATGTAGATTAGAGGCATAAATTAATTAAAGACTTTTTTATCAAAGCAATCGTTCATCGTTTACACATTCTCACGACCTATTTTGACTTTGAATTTTTACTTACAAACTACGTGATAAACGTCAAATATTATTATCACTTGTTAATATGCATGATGGCATAATATAAATTACAAATTTATTTACATTAAAAAAATTACGACACTAACGGGATTTGAACCAGCATCCACAACGACGCTGCTCTAACAAATTGAGTAACCGTGTCGCTTTTGCTTATAGAAC